AAAAGGGCCTCATCGCCACCAGAGCAGTGTCAGGCCTTTTATACGTCCACATTTTGGGGAAGATATCAGTTAAGCAGAAAAGTCACACTGTTCATAAGGAAGAAGGATGCCAGGATTGTTTCTCAGCCACTGACATGGTCAAGAGAATCCCTCAGGGGCTGCGGCTGGGGCTCAGGGGCAGAGCGCTGGCCTAGCAGGTGTGAGGCACCGGGTTCATTCTCAGCACCAGGTGTAAAGGAAATAAAGACACATTGACTACTAAAAAAAAAATTAAAAAAGAAAGAATCCCACAGGTGACCTTGACGATCACAACTCCTCCCAGCTTCCTGACCCTGAACCCTTAAGAGTGGCTCCTTCCAGCTGTCGACATTTAGTGGACAGTCCCAGGTGTGCGTTCGCCTCTTTGCCTATAGGGCCCTTGACAGCTCAAGAACGGGACAGAAGGTGCTTGTCCACTGGGTGGGCACCGACACAGCTGCATGCCTGTGCTGAGGGCTCCCTAGCTCACTGGGACAGCCCTGGGAAGAAGGTAAGGGTGCTGTCGTCCCCAGGTGGCAGCAAGGACACAGCCTCTGAAAGCCTAATGCCTCTGCTCACATGGAGCCAGACCTCAGGACCTGTCTGGGTGGCTCCTGAGTCTATGGCCTGAAGCCCATGACGGCCACATGCCCAAGGAGGGAGGCCATTGGAAGAGACTCCTCAGAGGGTGTGGGGTGGCCTGAGAGCTGGACATTAAAGAATGATCTGGCTGTTACTGCCAGCAGGCCAGGAAAGGTGGGTTTGGGGCCTCTGCAGTAAAGGCCAGACCTATCCTGCCTAAGCCTGTACATAGAAGAACAGTCCTGTTGTGGCTCCCACTGAGAGGGCCTGTTCCTTTCTCTCTGCAGCTCTGCTTCAGGACGGTAGAGGCAGTGGTGACGAACAGCGTATCCTTAACTAGATTTTTAAAATTAGGGGATTGATTGACTCAAGTAACCAGAAAGCCCAGATGCCCATGTGACCTCAGGCATAGCTGGATCCAGGCGTTAGCATGTTATTGGGACTCTGAGGGCCCCCTCGCTCATTTCTGCTTTCCTCAGTGATGGCTCCATTCGAGATGGGTCCTCCTTTGAGAATCTCTTTGCTAATTTTTTACAAATGTTTTGGGGGCTGGTTGGGGTGGTGGAACTAGTTGTTAGTCTAATTTGACAAATACAGCTTCTTTGTCTGCCCAAAGTGTTCCCAGGCCAGCAGGATGGATTGGCTAGCCCTAGAGAGGGTCTCGCACCCAGACCACTCAGACTGGCTCAGGGAAGGGTGTTTTCCTTCCGGGAACCTGGGGCTCTGCGCCAGAACACCAGGGGCTGGAAGCCGTCTCCTGGGAGAGAGGACAGTGCTTGGCACGGAAGGCACTGGGCAGAGAGAAGGGGCTGCGGCTGACACTGCCCCTGCTGTACTTCCTGCAGCCCTGCCTGGGTGGGGGCATGCAGCTGGCTTTCTAGAAATTCCAGGGGTCCCCACACAGAACCTCCAGGGGTCACACTCGTGTCACTGTCTGACCGGATGSTATAACAAATCACCACGGACTGCGGACATGAAACAACAGAAATGTTTTCCTCTCAGCTGTAGAGGAAGTCCAAGGTGAAGGTGTGAGCAGATTCTCTGCCTGGGGAAGCCTGCTTCCTGGTTCACAGACAGCTCTCTTCATGCTGTGTCCTCACGTGGGGAAGGGTGAGGGTCTCTCTGGGGCCTCCTATAAGGTCCCATTCATGAGCCTTCACCCTCATGCTCCAGCCACGCACAGAGGCCCACCTCTTAAAGCCTCACCCCAGCAGTTAGGAGGTCAATCCGGCCCAACCTTGAATGAGATTCAGGTCCAGGGCTGTTGGCGGTAAGCCATGCCAGATATTAAAACACCCCAGATCCCTCATCCCGCAAGCTTTCTGGGCACCAACTATGTACAAAGCACCCTGCGAGACCCAAGGTACCCTGGGAATCAGGAAGCTAGCGCTGCCCTGGGGAATGGGCACACAGCACCAGGCGCAACAGGGAATGGTAGTGTGTGGAGGGAGAAGACCACCCAGGGAGGTGACATCTGAGATGGGTCGAGGCAGGGAAAGGTGTTCTGCTCAAATGGAGAGGCTGGGATGGCATCAGCAGTTTACTTGGGGAATGGTAAGAAGGACTGTGTGGCTGGGAGGGAGAGGGTGCAGAGAGACAGGCAGGAGCTCTGTGGGCCATGGAGAAGAATTTGGAGTTGAGGGATGATGGGAACTATTCTAAGAACTTCAACAGGGACAGTTGTCGTATCTACTCTGATTAGGTTTGACCGTGAATACTGGAGACCCTGAAAATATGGTGAAAAAATAGTGGCTTAAATAAGACACAATTTTATTTTTAAGTGTGTGTGTGTGGTTTTTTTTAAACCAACACTTAAAATAGTGTTAGCATGACTCCAGATGGTATGGAGTTTCCACAAGGCTTTTAAGGACCTACGCTGTTTTTAGATCACTGTGTCACTATCCCTAGGTTGAGGACCTTGTCTTCATGATTTAAGTTGGCTGCAAGTGCTCCAGCCATCTCATAAGTTCTGGGCATTGGGAGAGATGAAGCAAGAGGAAAAAGCTGCCCCTTCTCTTTAAAATGACATTTCCAGAGACCTCCCTGGACTTCCGCTGACCTCTCATTGTGGATAACTTATCATGTGATCATAACAACAAAATTGGGAAACACAGCCTTGTAGTTGGATGCGATTATACCCAGATTTTTTTTTTTAAGTGTTGGGGCTGGGCACAGTGATGCACACCTATAATCCTAGCAACTTGGGTTGAAGCAGGAGGATCACGAGTTCAGCCAGCCTCAGCAACTTAGCAAGGCCTTAAGCAACTTAGTGAGAACCTAAAAACATAAAGGGCTGYGGATGTGGCTCAGTGGTAGAGCGCCCCTGGGTTCAATTCCCAGTACTTAAAAAAAGAAAAAAAAATGGGTTCTTTTTCTAAAGGAGAAGGGGAGCTGTGATGTTGGGAGGAGACTAATGGCCTCCCACTGTGTGGGGCACAGACAGGAAACAGGCAACGGGAGGGAGCAGTGAAACCAGCAGAGCTCCTGGTCCGGGTCTGAGCATTTGGGGCGATGGCAACGCTGTCTGTATAGTGACCTGGGGAAGGCACAGAGGGAGCAGGAAAGGGGGCAGGGGCCGGGGCTGCCACTCCCATGCCTCTCCTGCCCTGCACACCTCCAGGAAGCTGGGAGGCAGACTCCACCCTGGGCTGCGCACTGGAGGCTCACAGGAGACGCCTTGGCCAGTGTTCCCTGAGCTGGAGAACACACCCCATTGCAGTGGGGGTCACAGAGTTCCAGGTCAGACCTGGAGGGTCAGATGGGGAAGGACAAAGGCTCCACAGGAGATCCACAGTTCACTTGTCACCTCTGGAGTGTCCCCTGTGGCCTTGACAGGGGGTAGCATGGTTTTCATTGCACTTAGATTGTATCAGGACCTTCTTACCCAGCAGAGGTCTTGCCTGGCCTGCCCCATTGCCCCTGAACCCTGACCTGTTCCCACTCACTCACTGCACAGATCTGGGACACTCCCCTCACTGACTGTGGGTGCCTGCCAGGAGCACCCAGGGCCCAGGCCCAGCTCTCCAGGACCCATCCTGATCCCGGCTYCCTTGGTGGGCGGCCCTTCCTGTCAGGGCCAATGTGTTTGGTACATTGTCCCCAAGACACTGAATCTGGATTAGCACTGTGGGCTGACCTTCCAGCCTCCACTCCAATGGCACCTCTCTTCCCAGGACAGAGCTACCATAAGTTTCCCACCACCCTTCGGCAGTGRACAGGCTCTGACATGAAAATAGCTACTTAGCCAGACAGCTCTATTCTGCAAGTCTCCAAGAAGGCTTTGGCCCCACCAGCCTTTTGTACAGAATCTTTTATTGGTCACCAACCTTCCAGGTGCTGACCTCATTTTCTTTGTTTCTCCCACCCCAAAGGACACCTTGGAGATGTGTAGCACCTCCCACTCACTTCCTAAGCCACCGAGGGCTGGGCTGTCTCTCTCCTCTAGCTTCACGGGAAGGTTGGGTTGAAAGGGCCTGCAGCAGGGTAATTAATTCTCTGATGACCATAATGCACCCATGGACAGAGCCCATGAGGTCAGGGAGATATGGGCCTGTCACACCCCACTCCCAGCCCAGCAGGGGCTCAGTGTCACTGTGAGTTCCAGAGCATGTGCAGGCTAAAATGGGGAAAGACAGCTGGAAGATGGGACCCGGGAGCACTGGGCACTGACCCCAGCCCAGGAGCCCAGGTGGACCTCCTTGGGGCCCACTCTAGCCTATACCCACCCTTGGACCTGCCCCCCAATGCTGTGCTTCTTACCCACTAGGACAAACATGGTGGCACATGCCTGTAATCCCAGCATTTGGGGAGGATAAAGCAGGAGGGATTACAGGTTCAAAGCCAGCCTCAGCAATTAGCAAGACCTTGAGCAACTTAATGAGACCCTGTCTCAAAATAAAAAAAAAAAAAATGGGCTGGGGATGTGGCTCAGTGGTTAAGTGCCCATGGGTTCAATCCCTGGTAACAAAAAAAACAAAACCAGGGCAAGTTTAAGTGGGTGTGTCCACAGAGTCACTGGGGACCTGTGTCCCCCAACCCGTGGAAAAACCTCTAAGAATACAGATATAGGAAGAAGCAGGAAAATGTCAAGGTATTCAGGCCCTCAGGCCTGGGCCCTCTCACCCTTTCTGTGGCCCCTTAGGAGCAGTTTCTGGCACTTGCACACAGAAGGCCTGACTTTTTATTTTRTTTATTTATTTTTATTCATTTATTTATTTATTGGCACCAGGGATTGAACTCAGGGGTACCCGACCACTGTGCCCCATCCATCCCCAGCCCTATTTTGTATTTTCTTTAGAGACAGGATCTCACTGAGTTGCTTAGTGCCCCACTTTTGCAGAGGCTGGCTTTGAACTAGCAATCCTCTTGCCTCAGCCTCCCAAGCCGCTGGAATTACAGGTGTGCGCTACCCCGCCCCCCTCTGGCTCAGAAGGCCTGACTTTGACTACTGCCAGTGCCTACTGCATTCACTAGCTGCAACCCTAGCCATGCCATGGGACAAGGCTCCCCTAAACTCAGCTGCTTAGCTTGGTCAAGGCCCAGAAATCAGGGCAACTCAACTGTGCCCAGGCATCCCAAGTCCTCTTCCTGGGAGGAATGAGAATCCAGGAATATCCATGGTGTTATGGTCTGGCTCCCGAATGTCCCAAAAGCTCCTGTGTTGAAGGCTTGGTCCCCAGGGAATGGCATCAGTGGGAGGTGGTGGTGCAGCCTCAAGAGGCGGGGCCTGGTGGGAGGTGGGGCCTAGTGAGAGGCGGGGCMTAGAGGGAGGCCAGTTGAGCAGCTTTGCTTACCATGTCCTGCTTCCGCCATGTGCGGCCTCGACACAGGCCCAGAGTGGGTTGGCCAAGGGGCCATGGACTAAAGCCTCTAAAACTGTGAGCCAAAATCAGTCTTTCCTCCTTTTAAATTATTTATCACAGGTATTTTGTCACAGTGATGGAAAGCTGTGACAGAGGCCAGGGGAGCAGCAGAAGCACTCAAGGCCTCCTAGGGATTAGGGATTTACACACTGCCACCCTCACTGTATTCTGTGGGCCAAAGCAAGTCCTATAGCCAGCAAGCCCAGAAAGCCGGAAATACATCCTGCRTCCAGGGAGCAGCAGTGGTTATGCAGGGCAGGGGGCGCAGACAGGGGAGCATGAAGAATCAGCCTCTTCACGGGGCTCCCACAGCTCCTCGAGGCCGGGTTTCAAGGAAGCAGTGTGTGGACGCAGACATCCTTTGCAAACTGTAAAGTGTTACCTGCGTGTGCAAGGAAGGTGGTGTGACAGCGTCATCCTATGACTTCTCCAAGAGCCTTCTGAGTCCTCCGAGAACACTGCACTCCTGGTCTTGATGTCACGCGTACTTGATTATGGTCTTTGAAAACGGGTGACCCCCATTTGGTATCCTAGGTGAGGGGAAGCGGGAGAAACCTGTGAATTATGCAGTGCTTTTTCTGTAGTTCCAAGTGAGTCTCAGCCTACGCAAAGGTGTGTGCCTTAAGCAGACTCCGCTCACCCCCTCAGACCAGGAGGGAGGAGGCAGAGAGGGCGAGCACTCCCAAGCTCCCAGCTCGGCCCTGTACCTGGTCACCACAGATCATAGATGTAAAAAAAGATTATTAATATCAAATTTTAACTTAAGAGCCTAYGTTCCGAGGTGTAGTTGACACGAGAACTCTGCACTAACTTAAAACCAACCCCTCTGGTCCCTCACCACTGCGGCCCAGCCCCTCAGCCAACCAGGAAATCTTCTCCAAGAGAGACGGTGCTCCACTGGAGTAGGAAATAAAGGAATTACAATTTTAGCCAAGGGCATTATTTTTTAAACTTTTTCCCCAAAACAAATGCTGAGCAAAAGCCCAGTTTTCAAAGCAGAACTTCTGAGTTGAGTGGCAGAGCAGACAGAGCCCCCTTCTCCCCACCTGCTCAGGCAGGGTGGCTTGCTGCATTAGAACCTGGTTGGGGTGGAAGGCTCCAGACAGGTGTGTGTCCTGAGGTACAGGGCACTCAGAGCCGCCCACTGCCCCGAGCTGGCCAGGTCCCTGGTCTGGGCAGAATCCCATCAAGGACTCAGAACCCTGTGTCCCTCTTTCCTCACAGGCCGATGCCAAGATGGTGTGTGACGTGGTGAGTCGTATGGAAGACACTGAGCCCTTCTCTGCAGAGCTGCTTTCCGCCATGATACGACTCTGGGGCGACTCAGGGATCCAAGAGTGCTTCAACCGGTCTCGGGAGTATCAGCTCAACGATTCTGCCAAATAGTGAGTGTCCTGGGCTGGTGGAAGGCCTAGAGCTGCCTGAGGCCCACGTGGAAGGGGTGGCACCGTGGGGCAAGGAGGGTTCCCACTGAGGTCCACCTGCGGTGAGATGCCTTATATTTAAATGTGAATTGGAGCCCCTATACGGTTTACTAGGGTTATTAAAAAAAAAAAAAAAAAAAAAAAAAACCAGTCTGGACAAGAAGAAAAAAAGTGTCTCTTTTAAATCCAAACCCTTGACCACTATCTTATCTGTTTTCAGCCAACTTTCTTAACCAGCTTCTCCCCCTCCTTAATGTTGCAACACAAAAGGGAAAGAAAAGTGGAAAGATCCCAAAAGTGCAGGATGAGGAAGGGGCCAAGAGACAACCAAACAGGAAATGCCCCCAGGGCTGGGGCCTTGACCCTGCTGGTCCTGGACAAGGGCTTCCCTCCCAACTGAAGGTCTAAGGGTCACAGGGATGAGCCCTGACCTCCTAAATAAAAGTCACCAACTATAGAGGCAGAAGACCATTTGTTTTGTTTTAAAGAAAACAATTTATTTTTAGGGCTGGGGAGGTAGCTCAGAGGTAGTAGAGTGCCTGGTTCAATCCCCAGCACCACAAATGAAACAAAAATAATGAACTTTCCATTCCTCTAACTTTAAAATTATTTAAAATCAGGAAGAAGTAACTCCATCCAATAAATAGAAAAGGCAATCAAATGGATCCTTTAATATTGTGTTCCAAAAAGTGAGGAGGAAGAATGGGAGGAGGGAGAGGGAGAGGAGAGGAAGTGGAATGTGGACACTGGTGCAGGCCAGCGCAGGAGAGAAGGGGCCRAGGGCCTGGCCGCTGAGCTGGGTCACTCTAAAGATGTGCTCGCTGGTCATGTGCCCGTGGCCCCTGGAGGGGAGCACCGGGACACAGAGTCCACCCCACTTCTGCAGTCTGGTGCTCAGGGTTTCAGGAGGAGCTMGCCACAGGGAGCCCTGGGCTTTATTTAATCACTATCTGAGGACACATGTGCTATCACCTGATCTGACTTGGTCATTGTCACCAGTGCTTCACAGCTGGGACCATTTTGCCCTCTGGGGACACTCAGTAACATATGGAGGCATTTTTTATTGTATCACTTGGGTGGTGCTCCTGGCACCCAGTGAAACACCCTACAGTGCACAGGACAGCCCACAACAAAGAATTCTCTGACCTGAAATGCCAACAGTACCGAAATAAGAACCCTGACCTAYGCAACACTGATGGGCCAGGCAGGGCCATGGAACAGCATGTTCTAGGGGACACCAGATATTTCCACCGACCGTGATGGCAGCTGGCAGTCCAAGAACTCGAGTGGGGTCAGACTGTCTTYTTGCTTCTGCACACCTAGATTGTCTGCAGGGAAAATCCTGAAACCCTGCAAGACGCAGGTGGGGCCACCAGGTGCAGGCGTGTGAGCTCAAATCCCAGACCCAGAGCCTCCCAGAGCCCCACAGGAGAGGGACCAGGAGAGGATGCTTTCAGCCACACCCCTCAGGCCCACCCTTTTGGTCCTCAAAGCCAGAGAGACCCAACTTTCTCCCTGCTTGGGGCAGGTCCAGGGCCTCCCCCCTGCTGCCAGCCAGACCCCAGGGACCCTCAGGGCCAGCTGGCCCCAGTCTGTTTTCCGTTAGCTCATCGAATCCTGCTCATCACTTAAATTTTTGCCCATTCTATTAATTGTAAAATGAATCCGAGCCAGACGTGGTGGTGCACTCCTGTGATCCCAAGGACTCYGGAGGCTGAGGCAGGAGGTTCACAAGCTCAAAGCCAGCCTCAGCAACCTAGCAAGGCCCTCAGCTACKTAGCGAGACCTTGTCTCAAAAAATAAAAAGGGCTAGAGCACTCTGGAGCACCTGGAGCACTCTCCGATGTGGTTAAGTGCCCTGGTTCCATCCCTGGTACAGAAAGAAAGAAGAAAAAAGAGCTGGACCTATAGCTCAGTGGGAGGACGCTGCCGAGTTCAGCTTCCAGCACCAATAAATAAGCAAATAAAGCCCACTGCAAAGATATTGTTTAACCAGAGGATGTAAGGTGAGCAATCTCCCCTTCCCAGTCCTGTCCCTTCTGCTTTTAACCATTCCATTTCCTCCTCCCGTGGTGTTCATGAAATCTTGATCCTCCAACTTTAAATAGTACTTCCTGACTCTGAAACCTGGCACACTCAGCTCACCTTCCTTCCTTCCACCTCTCTCCACCGCCGCCTCCAGTTTTTTTGCTAGTTAAAGGATTATTTTTAGCTCTTCTGGTGGTTACCACTGTAACTTTAAATAAGAAAATSGAGTCAGCGTTTGTCAACCCCTCACCAAGTAAGCTAAGGAAATGCGCCTTCCCCTGCTCTTCTCTCTCTGGTCCCTACCTCTCTCCAAAAGTGTCACTGCCAAGGTATATGGCTTTGACATTTTCCCGCTTGGCTCTTCTGTGCTTTCTCTCTGGAAGAGGGCTCCTCAGCAGGGAAAAACGGGGACAAACAGACTGTCAGGTCAGAAAGCCCTTTAATACCTCTTGGTCCAGGGCTGGGTTGTCTTAGCGGTTTAGTCTTTTCAGAAAGACTTGGGCCCGATGTGTAAAATAAAACAATTTGTTATGGCAGAAAAGAGAGGGAAGGCTGCTAACGCTTCACACCGCCCAGTTCCAGAATGTGCCCTTGACACCCTAAGGCCCCAGTCACTGGGCATCCCAAGCCCTTCCCTTTACAAGTCAAGGCCCAGGGTCTAGAGGGAAGGGATGAGGTCTGGGGTCGCTCGGCTCCTGAGCTGACCCCTGCTTTCTGGGCCTGGCCCAGGCCTCAGAGTAAGCAGACAGATCCCGGAGACCCAGGAACCTGCTCAGACCCAGCCAGGGCCTGGGGAAAAGTTCTGCAGCCTCACAGATCTGGGTCCCCACTGAGTCGCCCACGTGCTGTGACGTACGCWCCCCTGGCTTCTCCCCTAGACCCTCCACCGTGCCCCTCTAGCTTCCCCCCAGACCAACCCCTCACAGGCAGGACATGGCTCTTGGCTCCCTGTGCCCTGTCCCCAGGCTGCCCCTGCCAGCACCTGTTCACTCTGCTCSCAGCCTCCTTGCCATGTCCCTTCAGACCACTCCTGCCCATCTCTCCTGAACGCCCAARCTCCCACCTTGAACCTGACAAGTCCTGGTGCCGGGTGACCTTCTCTGGTGCCTGTTTTAAACTCCTCGCGCACCTGGAGCACTCTCGGATGGCGCTCACCGGGTCTTCCCTCCCTTGGGACTTCTGCCTCCTTGGTGTCTGTCTGAACTCACATTTGCATGGTGGGGGACGTCCTGGCCCCACCTCCTCCAAAGGCCWCTGGCCTCCTTGTCCCTCCCACCTGCTATGTCTTCACTCTGCCACAGGGAGGCATCGTTAGCTCTTCCTCTGTGTCCCACACACCCAGAATGTCCCTGGCCTCTTCCCGCCCCTCCACAGACTCCTCCAAGGTGTGAGCTGCCATCACCTGACACCAGGATGGTGGCAGGCCTCCCGCTCCACCCGCCCAAGACAGCACGCCAGCACTTTTTCTGGGGCCCAAGTCCTCACACAATGTGAGGGCCTGACTCCCGCCACTGCCACGGGGCACACCCGCCACCTGCTCCCACCCCGTGTGCTTCCTGCCTCACCACTCCTGGCCCCGAAACCTTCCCGGCCTGCACCCCAGGCAGTCCCCTGTGCCCACTGGCCCCTTACTCTCCTGTCTCCATTCTCTGAGAGACCTTCCCCAACCGTCCTGCAAGACTTCCTTACCAGTCACCCGATTGCTCTGACTGCCCCCTCTCTCCTCGTCCTCTCTCTCCCCCTCCCTCCCTGTCCTCCCCCACCTTCCCCCCCCCCACATACACACACGCACACGCACACGCACGCATCAGAGCACAGGCTTCAGGCAGGAAGATCTGTGTCGGTGTTGGCCTCTGTCACTATCGCCCCCAGCTCTCAGGCAGTAGGACACATGGCAGGTGCACACTCTGGCTCTCCCCACCCGCTGCTCACGTATCCATGGCCACCTCCCCTCTGAGACCCCCACACAGAGAGAAAACAGGAGCCAGGTTGTCTGGCTGTGTCCAAAGATTTGCCTAGCTGGGTAAGGGGGCCAAGACCAGGGGCTCCCTGGCCTGGGGCCCAGCTGCAGATGACAGCAGGGACATCCAGACTAGCATACCTTTAAKCAAAGGCTGTGGGATGGGGAGTGGGCACAGGGGGACATCTACAAAGGGGTCAAGAGGGGCTCCTCTGGSTGAAAGCAGAGCCTCCCAGATACCCACCAGCCTGGCAAGGAGGCCGTGGGGCCAGAGCTCAGCGACCTGCCCTGCAGCCTTACCCACAGTAGCCCTGCTTGACCTTCCACAGAGAGCCCGGTAGGCTCAGGGAGGAGGCAGTGGGGAGAGCCCCGAGGCCAAAGACCCCGTCCCAGGACGGCCCGCCACCATCTGACCCTGAGGACCCTGAGCACCAATCTTCTAAGAGCCTCAAATGGAAAGAGACACACAGACCCCTGGTAAATGAGGAGTACAGAGGGGCAGGCGATGCTCAGGGCCTCGTGGGGCACCACTGAGTGAGAACTGAGAGTGCACTGTGGAGGCCGGTGTCTGGACTCGCCCTGTGTCCASAGTTTTCTAATCTATAAAACAGTATGTCTGACCCAGGAAGATTCAGGATGAATCATGATCACATGCAAAGAATAGAATGCTCACTTTTGGGRGGCTGGGGGTTGGTGTTGAACCCAGGCCTCGTGTGTGCTGGGGAAGGCTGTCCCTCTGAGCTATACACCAGCCTCTTTGGCTTTTTAGTTTGAGACAGAGTCTCACTAATTTGCCCAGGCGGCCTCAAACCTGCAATCCTTCTGCCTCAGCCTCTCAAATAGCTGATGTCACAGGTGTGCACCACTATGCCTGGTGCCTTCATTATTTTTTAAATGAAGAAATGACAAGGTGACCCCGAAAACCTGGTAGTCCCCTCTACAAGGCTTGTCAGTGTGCCTGGAGCTGTGTGCACACCCCCTTGGGTCTGAAGTAGAAGCTCGTTGAGTTTGTAAGCCCAGGAGCATAAGCTTCTCTTGTTTGGTTGTCCCCACATCCCCAACTGGCCRCCATGGCTACCTTCAATGGGCACGGGTTGATGCTGGACTCTGAAAGTGGGTGACCCAGTGAGCCCTGAGCAGTGCCCAGGTGAGGGTCTATGGTGCCTTGTGTGTTGCCATCCCCAGCTACCTAGACAGCCTGGATCGGATTGGGGCCGGCGACTACCAGCCCACCGAGCAGGACATCCTCCGAACCAGGGTCAAAACCACCGGCATCGTAGAAACCCACTTCACATTCAAGAACCTCCACTTCAGGTGAGGCCCAGGAGACAGCCAGACCCTGGTGAGGGTGGCAGAGTGACAGGAGATGCCCGGGCYCTCAACCTCATCTCACCAGTATAGCCAGAGAGCTCCCAGCCTGGGGACACTTTCACACTGGGAMAGGCACTTAGGTACCAGAAGCGGCATGCCTATGCGCTCATTTTTGCCAGGTTCAAGGCTGGGATGAGCAGGGGGCCTACCTGGGAAGAGGCAGGGTCCTGGAATGGGTCTATGAGGAAAAGGAGGATTTGGATGGAAAAGGAGAGGAAAACTGTCCCTAAGGTAATTACTAGAGGGACAGATGGTGGGGACTAGGGGTAGGTAAGCCCAAGGGATGTCTGTGAGACCCAAGGACTCACATAACCTCAGAGGTAGAGGCTTTAAGAGAGCAGCTGACCCCCTCTCCTAGAACATATTGGGGACTGAGGCCTGAGAGAAGCAAGTTTTCCCCAAGGCACAGACCCAGGGGCTGGGACCAAGGGCTCTGAGTCTCTTTGAACGGGCCTGAGGTGTAAGGCCCTGCGRGAGGGTCCTTTCCCTGGGGACCTCGGTGCACTGAGGACTGGCCGCCTGTCCTGCCCTGCCTTCCAGGTGTGGTTTCTGGGTGTCGAGAGGAACAAGAAGAGAGGCCAGGAGGGAAGGGAGGGCCAGGACCTCAGGCTGGTGGACAGCTGCAAGGTCCTGTTTCCTGGCCTCCTGCCATTCTGTGTAGCCAGAGGGATTGAGCCTCTATCCAGGCTCCTGGGCATAGGCAGCCCCTCTGCAAGTCTGTGGGAGCCTGCTGGGCACCCACTGCCCCAGCATGCAGCAGTGCTCTCTGAGAGGCCTCCAGTCTCCTCCGTGTCCCCTACTCACCCCTGAAGCCCTGGCCAGCAGTCAGATGCTGAGGGGCTACAGGTGGGGAGGTGGGGTCCCCAGGAGGCAGGAAGAGAATGAGACTCTCACTCATTGCCTTGTTCTCCACTGGCCCTGATCTGTGCCTGCAGTTGCTCTCTTCTGTCTGGACCATTCCTGTCCCTGCAGGGCCAGGTCACCCCCTCTGCAGCTGTTTGCCAGTCAGCTTCCCGGGTCCGGGAGGCTTCAGGGCTCCTTGCTCATCAGTTAGGATGTGACGCTGACTTTGGATTTCCAAGACCTGCCCACCAGCCTGCAGCCTCCTCCCACAGCCTCAGGCCCTGGGAGATGCAGTCTGAGGGGTGGCCAGAGCTCCCCTCAGACTGCTGTGGAGGGACAGTGCAGAGCAGAGGCCGGTCAGACCCAGCCAACCTGCACTCACACTCACAGCAGGAGCTGGGCACATCCTTAGGCTCCTGGTGCCCACTTTCCCACCCACAAAGCAGGTGACAATTCCTCCTGTCTCCCGTCGGGGCAGGCTTTCCGTTTGTCCGCAGCATACAGGCAGAAAGGAGCAGCATGTCAGTGTTCCCGAGGGAGGGAGGCTCCCCRGGGCATTTTCTGGGCCCCTTAGTGATTCTTCAGGTGCAAGGGCAGGTCTTTAGGTCACTCCAYGTGAGCACAGCTTGGTCCTGGGAGAGGCTCAAGGGGCAATGATGGCTGCCACCAGCCCCAGGGAAGGCAGTGGTCTGTCGGTCAGTCAGTCATCACCTGGAGTGAGGACCCCTCGTGGGGCCCTGAGAGGCCACTGAGCTGGACCACCAGGCGCCCCACCTGCCTGGACCTCACCGCCCATCAGCTCCTGTCTTCCTGGCAGGCTGTTCGACGTCGGGGGCCAGCGATCTGAACGCAAGAAGTGGATCCACTGCTTCGAGGACGTCACGGCCATCATCTTCTGTGTCGCACTCAGCGGCTATGACCAGGTGCTCCACGAAGACGAAACCACGGTGAGTCGGCTGGGCCCACTGGGCAGGGGCAGCACATGGGCTGGCCACCCAGCCTGAGGAGACACTGAAAGGGCGGGCTGCAGGACAGGCCAGCCCTGGAGCACTGGGGGCCTCYGTTGCCGCCGGCTCTGGGGTCCTCTGGTGGTGGGTCATGCTGGCTCGCTCTCAATCCRTGTTGCCAGGGAAGATGCCTCGGGAGTTCAGCGCCGCAAAGAGAGCACAGGGGCTGGGTGCAAACCGACCACAAAGAGCTCAGCAGAATTTGCGTYCTGGGCAGTAACGCGCCTTCAGTAAACTCAGCAGAGTCAGGGGGCCATCAGGCCAGAACAGAATCAAGCAAATCCTTAAAAGTCAGGGTTCGGCCAAGTGAGCACGCATACACAGCAGAACTAGTCTCCACGGCCCTCTGGGGCTTTCCAGGGTGCTGCACGAAGGGGTGTGGCTGGCAGGCTGAGCAGGGCAGTGGATGGAGGCACGCTGGTGGGTGACAGGTGTGGCTTTGACTCCGTCTGCGTCGGTGGGATGCTGTCCCTGCGCCACATTCATTCTGGGCCTCGGGCTTTGGCCTTTGAGAACTGCCACCCACTGCAGAGGGGACAGTCACCTGGAGAGTGTCTGCAGCCGTCCCCAGGGTCGGTCCTAGGTCTGCTAGCGTCGTGTTGCTGCTGAATTGAGGCAGCTCCTCTCTGCCTCGGTCACTGTTTCCTGTAAAAGGGGGACAGTGACGGACCCTGCCTTGGGGAGGCTGCTAGGCATGGACGGAGTGATCCGTGGCAGTACTGGAACCGTGCTGGGCACAGCAGCACCAAGCTGGTGATCGTATTGTCCCTGGCGATGGCCCTGGGCCAGGTGGCCCCATAGCTCCAGCCCAAGGGCAGGGGCCTGCCAGAGTCTTCTGCGTGGGGAACCCAGTGGGGCCTTGGAGCAGGGCCCGTGGGCTGGGGACTCACTCCCCAGCCTCTGTCCTTTCGAGGACAGTGCTGGGGCTTTGAGGAGGGGCTGTCAGGCTGGGCCTTGATCAAGGTCTGT